ATGAAAATCTAGAATTATTTTAGTTCACTAACAATTAACTGATACAGTGAGCAACAGATATAATACCTTTGACCTTGCATATTTTTTGAAGTTCTGTTTTTCACAGCAGAGCTTAAAGAAAATGTAGTGCTTAATATACATATTCTCATTAAAAGTGATTTACTTTTAAATCTCTGTGTGTAATACTCTAGGTGATAATCATTTTTCCCTCCATAGGCAAGAAGTTTGATAGCTGTAGGACTGGGTGTTGCAGCCTTTGCATTTGCAGGTAAGGTAAATACAGAATAAATATAGTCTTAGTTATCTAGCACTACTTGAAAAGGAATACGACAGGTCTGGTTGGAAGTAACAAACAGAAATTTGTTTTTCACAGTTTAGAATGCTAGAAATCTTAATTTAGGGTGCCAGCTCTAGGGGAATGCTTTCTCTTTCAGCTCTGGGGAAATGTTCTTGTCTCTTCAACTTCTGCTTCCTGGTTCTTTGGAGAGCTCCATGTGCCTTGACATCAGTCTTCCCCATCTTTGCTGCTTTTGCTTGCTTGTTTAATGTCTTCTATTTTTCAAAAGAGATTGATTTAAGATGCACATACTACACTAATCCTGTCTCATTAACATAACAAAAACAATACATTCCCAAATGGGATTCTAACCACAGGCATAGAGGTTAGGATTTACAGTGCATATTTTGGGGGGGACACAATTCAGTCCGTAACTGTATCAGTAAATATTACAGGAGAAATCATTCTAAATAGCTTTCACAGTGATTCATGAGCAGACTCTTAGTATGCTAAGGTTTTTGCTTTAAGACATACATTCCCATTTTTTCCTAAACATTTATAGTCACTGAACATTTGTCAGTATAACAAAATGTAGATAAACTTTGTAGTGAAGAAAATTAATGATGCAAAAGCTAGGAAAACTAATTTCCAATAATAGTGGATCTTACTGACTTTTTCCCCCCAGTTTGAGTTACAGTATACTATAAAAAAAAAAAAATCTGTAATATTAAACAATATAAGTGATATGGGACTTTTCTCCTATATTTATTTTTTCTTGCAGATGGGGGTTATACATTTTCTGAGCTGTCATGTCTTTTTAATGAGCAAAGCTGTTCCTTACAGTGATTTATTACTTTATCTTTTAACATATTTGTATAATTTCTTTGATAAACCCAGGAGAATTTCACTGCCTAAATTACCTTTTTATTTATTTATTTTTATTTTTGCAATTTTCCCTCCCCTCTCCTCCCACCCCTGGTAACCAGCAAAGAAAGTTTCCTTCCATAAAGAAACCTTTCTAAATTACCTTTCTAAAAAGAATAAAGATTAAGGGAAACCGTTACATGTTTGTCATTAACTTACAGTTTTAAATTACATAGCTGTTGCCCAATAAATTTTAATGTGAGAGCCTTTCCCTACTAAAGATTTATTATTTCATTTTAACATTTATGTTTCTAAGTTCCATGGATTTGACATTGTCAGTTGAATCTTCTTTTTAGGTGAAGGTACATCCATTGTGTTTATATATATATAGGTTAGTAAGTTAGGAAGATGGGACATAAAAGGATTTTTTGTTTGTTTTGTATATAATTTCACATAATTTTCATTTAGAGAACTTTAACAATAAGGACTTTAAAATCAAGAAGGTCAGTGATTCAGATTTTCTTGATCCCTCTGGCATAGGAGTTTTGTGTTTCATTAAATAACTACAAAAAAAAAAACAAAACCCAAAACCAAACTCACTGTCATTGAGCCGATTCCAAGTCATAGCGACTCCTCCTTGGGTTTCTGAGGCTGTATCTCTATGAAAGTAGATTGCCTAGTCTTCCTTCCGAGGAGTGGCTGGTGAGTTTGTACTGCCAGCCTTCTGGTTAGCAGTCAAATGCCTTAGGCACTATGCCACATTCTCTAATTTAAAATGAAAATCTTACACTTGAATTTCTAGTAACTATGCCTCTACTATATTCTCTTATAACAATTAAAAATAAAATGGGCTTCTAAGGATTCTTTTCTAGAAATGATATTCTTTTCATGAATCTTTAGAAATTAGTTAACCATAGTTATATAAAATAGTTATTTTATATTAAAATATATATATATAAAATGTATTTCACTTGATATAGATGTTGTTGTTATGTGCCATTGAGTCATATTCAACTCATAGTGACCCTCTCCTTAGGTTTCTGAGGAGATGTCTCTACGGAAGTAGATTGCCCAGTCGATCTTCCGTCCAAGGAGTGGCTGGTGGGTTTGAACTGCCAGCCTCCTGGTTAGCAGTCAAATGCCTTAGGCACTATGCCACCAGAGCTCTTATATATAAAATATGTATTAAAATAACTATAGGTATATAATTTTTGAAGACTCATGAGAAGAATATCACTTCTAGAAAAGAATTCTTACAATCTGGTCCATAAATACGAGACCATTTTATTTTTAATTATTATAAGAGAATATAGTAGAGGCATGTTGTTGTTGTTATGTGCCATCAAGTCGCACCCAACTCATAGAGACCCCTCCTTGGGTTGCCGAGGCAGTATCACTATGGAAGTAGATTGCCCAACCTTCCTTCCAAGGAGTGGCTGGTGGGTTTGAATCGCCAGCTATCCGGTTAGTAGTCAAGTGCCTTAGGCACTACGCTAATAGAGGCATAGTTACTAGAAATTAAAATGTAAGATTTTCGCTTTAAATTAGAGAATAATATAGTTTTTCCAGATCATACTGTTGCCAAATTTGTATTACCAACTAGAATATTAAATAATAGACATATTTCTTCTAGAGTCAATGACAATTTCAATTCTAGTATTTATGAGAAAGTACACCTAGAGCTGTAAACCTAGACCGTCCAGTCTGTGGTAAATTAAATCTAAAGATGTCACTTCTTTAAGCTCTCACTGCTTTTTTCCACTGGTACAGGAGGTCATTTAACTGCCTAATTTTGATTTTGAAGAAATTTGAGGTAATTAAAAAGCTGCATTTTATACTATTGTGAAATCAAATGAAAGATTCCATCAATATGATAAGAAATTTAGATGAATTAGAGTTTCAGCTTCATTTAATTTCACGTTGTTTAATGTTCTGGATCTCAAGAGCTTTATATTTCATCCATAGGTTGGCTCCTTCACATTTTCCTGTTTCTAGCATCTTGTTTTTAACTCTGTGTCTTTTGTACAGGAATAACAATATAATCAGGCAGATAAGTTCTTCTACAGGATCTATGTAACTGAACTTTCACAGTGAAAAATAAGTGATTTGCAAATAAGCTTATGACTAGAAATTGAATTAAAGTCTATAGTGTCATATGCAGGAGCTCTGGTAGTGTAGTGCCTAAGGTACTTGACTGCTAACCAGAAGGCTGGCGGTTCAAACCCACCAGCCACTTCTTGGAAGGAAAGTTGGGCAATCTACTTCCATAGTGATACAACCTCGGAAACCCAAGGAGGGGTCGCTATGAGTCGGGTCTGACTTGACGGCACATAACAACAACAACAACAGTGTCATATACTAGTTTTCTAGGAAGACTTTTGGGAAAAGAGCCACTAGTGATTATTTTGTAGTAGACAAGAATGTTAATTAAGGTACAGATGGTAAATTAACCAAATATTATAATTTTATTCTTGATTTCCACTCCCAAAACAGCATAGGACCTGTTTTGCTATTGAGTGTTAGTTGTCCAGAATCAAGGGAGTTTTAGTTCTTAGGTTGTCTGTGAAAGAAAAGCACCAAAATAAAATAAGTTTTTAGAGAGAGTAGTTATACTTAGAAAAATTGTTTAATTAAGATCTTTGGTAAATATATCCTACGTAATTGCATTTTTGCTTTAAAGGTAACGCCATTAAAATCCCTTCTATTCCATATTGTACAGGTGATAAATAACATTTGCTTTCTCTGTATAGACCAAAGAGATTATCATCTTGAAAAGCAATATAATTAATTATTTTACATTCATAAGCATCTTTATAAATAAAGGGATTTTATCAATAGTTATAAAAATATACTAAAATGTTACCTTTTGTGATGTAAAAACATGATTAAATGTCAAGTACTATATTCAAACATTGAAAATTTATAATTGGTTGTGAACTCAAACTTGATAAATTTTAATAGCTGTGATAATGATATTAAAATAAAATCCTTTCCTGCATTCAATAAATAAGAAATTTAAAAAAAACTATCTGTACTTATATTAAAGTTTTGAAATAAAAAGTATGCATTGAAATAAATTTTGTAAGTTAAACTGTTAATAAATACCATAGTGATCACCTTAAGGGTATTGATTTTACTTTGATTATAGAAAATACGTTTGCTTTTATTCCTTTTACTATTTAGGTCGCTATGCATTTCAAATCTGGAAACCTCTAGAGCATGTAATCACAGAAACAGCAAAGAAGATTTCAAATCCTGTAAGTTAAAGGTGGCTTTAGTGGGAATACTTATTTTGATTTTTGTTACGTGTAATGTTTGACAGTAACACAAGGAAATGCCTTGGATTTGCTAGCCTTTTTTGTTTACAGAAGTTTATTCCCTTTGTTATATCATTGGATTTTGTGTAATTTATTGATTTAGTTTCTTATAAGTTTTTTATCATGTTATTTTTATATTTAACTTTCTTCCTGGTTTTAACATCTAATCATTATGCTCCTTTTAGTAGTATTACATCATATTTGAGGGAGTTCATTTTCCCTTTTCTTTTTTTTTTTTTAATTGTGATTTGGTTGAAGAATTACAGAACAAATTCACTTTCCATACAGCAGTTCACATATACTT